CCCCAAAACCCCAAAACCCCAAAACCCCTAGTAGGATATCATATTATAATAATTGTGAGTAAGCATGGAAAATTTCTGATCCACCCTAGGACATACTAACTCTCTTTAGGATGAACCTTATCCAAGAGTTTTTCAAAGCATCACTGCAGAAAGATACTGAGTTTGCTATATTACAGAGCAAAATCCCAAAGAGTAGTGAATACAGTAACGTCTAGGTGAAGTTGAGCATCTGAATAGGCTTTCGATAGAGTATATCAAGAAGGTAAGATCATCAGTGACAATTTTATTTTAATTTTCACCTAAATTGATCCCTTTCTAAAACCTATACATAATATTTTCATTTCGACTTAAAAGCTAGAAAGCTTGCTTAAGTGCAGTAAAATATTTAATTAAAAACCAACCTGCAAAGTCGGCTTGATGTGATTTGAATATCAGCGACCAAAAATTATACCATTTGGAGCTTTATGTATCCTATCCCATGAATTACAGCTTATTACCTTGAGCATTAGCCAAGCTTGAGATTGGTCATTATGAGTCAAGATATTGTGATGATATTAATATCGTAGGATTTCCATTATGATATCAAAAAATTATTTGAGTTAATTTTTCTATAGTCTCAAAGACTACTGGTGTTTTCACTAGTGTGATTCATCATCCTTTCGGTAAGTAAATCCTCATATAAATAGAATCTAAATAAAGGCATGAGTTATAAGCAAACAGTTATGGCTTGAGGGTCATCCTTATTAGTCCTTGGGTTCTTTCTGATATAAGCCATTATATCCAGAAGTATCCTAAGTATCTTCAAATATTGATATTGAGTTATAATGTGCTTGGATACATCGGGCCCTATTTGTGCTTTGAGTGAGAGTATAAAGGTCATGTCAACACTTTCATTCCAGCTATATATTTGCATCATTTCTACCTAGCAACTTTGACTCCGTCAAAGAGACACTTGACAAGTATGATCTTTGCGTTCACTATTATCTTACAAATAATTTTTGCAATCCACAGGTTTGGAGAGATTGATGTTGATCTCATTGTCTCAGGACTTATGTGTATCCTAGTCTCCGATCTAAGCCTTAGGACAAACCAGACAAGGCTGTCTCAGATGTACCAAATGATTCTGGAGAATAGGAAGCTAATGAACGAGAAGCAGAAAGTTGTACAGGAATTTCCTCACCCAGTTTTGATACTTCCTCAGAAAATGTCTGAAATGTCACATTGATATTCAAATGAACAATTTGAACAGAGAATCAAGACTCTGGATCATAAGATAAAAGCACTAGATTCAGTTCAAGTTGAACTGAAACAAAAATATGATCAAGAAAAGGCTTACCTTAAGCTATCTCTGTTCGAGTATTTAAGCAAGATCAAGAAGAAGAATCATGATCAAGAAGACAAAGGAAGTACAGTTATCCATTGCAAAAATATTAATAACAAGTAAGTATTGTGAAGAAAAGTAGCATATGAATTATTCTATTTAATAAAAAGTTTGTGATAAAAGCTTATCTTTATTTCAACAGAGAAAGAATCAGAGAGAATGAAAGAAAACAGGTAAAAAGAAACTTTTACATTAAATCCCTCAACATTGAGTGGAAAGAAGTTCCTTCTGTGATGCATGTCTTCATTGACACCACAGATATTATAAAACTGGAGCAGGCTAAGAGCAAGATTAGAATGCAGAAGATCATGTTCGCAAGCACCAGTCACGAGTTCAGGACTCCCTTAAATGCAATCATTCATTCGTACAAATTTATTGAGACAGGATTCAAAGACATGCTTCAGATGCTGCAACAAAAGGCTTCTGAAGATTTTATCAGGAATAAGAGCTTCCAAGACCAGGTAGAGTTTATTAAGAAGTTTATCAAGACCGGATCAACTTCTTCAATATTGCTGCTATCTTTAGTAGAAGATATTTTGAGTCTGTCTAAGATAGATATTGGAACCTTATCTATCAATTTGGATCTCTTCCATGTACCTGAACTTCTTCAAGATGTGCACTTTTTATTCTCTGTGCAATGACAGAGCAAGGGTGTGGACTTGGTAATCGATTGTGAAGATGCTCTGCAGATCAATAAAATCAGTAGCGACAGCAATAGAATCAAACAAATCCTAGTGAACCTTCTATCGAACTCGGTGAAGTTTACCTTCAGAGGCTCTATCATCATTAAAGCTGCTCTCAAGAAGACTCTGGAAGGTGATGACATTGCTGAGTTCAGAGTCTGTGATACTGGCACTGGTATAAAAGAAGAAGACCAAGCACACCTCTTCCAAATGTTTGAGATTATTGGGCAGGATGAGGACCTGAGTCCTGATGGGTGTGGGTTGGGGCTTACCATTTGTAAAAAGTATGTGGAAGTGCTTGGAGGAAAAATATGTATAGAATCAGTGTATGGTAAAGGAACAACAGTGATATTTACTATAATGATACATGAAATAACAAAACTTCCATTCAAAAGATCTCGTTGCTTAACAGAGATTAAAGGCTTATCGAAACCCTCATTTGGAAGTATGTCAGGAGTAGATTTCAAAGTTAATGAAGAGCATGATTCACAAATATGAGCTACCCACAGGCTCCCAATCAACGATGTCCATCTCTCAAAGTTCTCACAAAGCTAATTCTGTGATATTTCCTAAAATTGATTGGAACTTTGGGAAACTCGTTCTTTACTACTATTCTAAACCAGTCGTTAATTTATGTGCTCTTTTCAATTCCTCTGCAAACCTGGTAATCTCTTCAAATACTTATTTATTACTGTGATAATTTTTAGAAAAAATATTTACTATATGTAGCATTAAGAAAAAGTTGAGTATTTTGATAGTTAAGCCACTTTGCAGCTAGATAATTTCACCTAGATTTCAATATTTCCAAGATGAATTCACTCATATCTTTGATTACTCCACCATATCATCTACCTCGATGGACTATGGTTGATATAATTTCTCAAATATTGTGTTAAATGCTAATTTTTTAGTCTTATGGTAGTATTTGCTCATTCTAGATTATCCTTGTAGGAAATTAAAGCTATAACCTGAATTTAATATTAACTACTCTCAACCCTATGTGAGAGTCTCGGGGTTTTGGGGTTTTGGGGTTTTGGGGTTTTGGGG